AAGCGAGTCTCCTGCCTCAGCCTCCCAAGTAGCTGGGACCACAGGCGCCCGCCACAATGCCCGGCTATTTTTTGGTTGCAGCCATTATTGTTGTTTGGGGGGTCCGGGCTGGATTCGAACCTGCCACCTTAGGTGTACGTGGCTGGCGCCTTAGCTGGTTGAGCTACAGGTGCCGAGCTGAGATTTCTTATATAAGCTTTTTTCAGAATGTCTATTTTTGACATAAACTGGCAATGTGCATTGCTTTAATTTCCTTTTCATTGGATAATGTGAAATTAATAAAATCTTCTAAAATTTTGAAAAGGAGCTCCTGTTTCAAACTCTTTACAGATCTAGTAACTCTTTGTGTGCTCTAAAGTCTTCATTGCTCCATTTCTTTGATCTACCAAATTGGAAATTCCTTTAAAGTAAGCAACTTGTAATGTATCTTTTGGCATATTCTGTGGCACTCAGTCTTAGATTTTTATATATAATAGGGCTTTATTGTTAAATGAATGAATTGTGTTAATTTTTAATTTCTAGTAGAAATTTTTCCTTTGCATTTCTTATTTTAGGCATTCTTTGTTACAAACATGGGACTTGATCAGTGTTTACATGAATCTCTTCTTACTAAATAGCTCTCGTATGACTGGAACTTATTGGGAGAACGAAACATGTGGCCCATTGGTATAATCACTTTGCTTTGGGGATTAATATGTGGTTGATTAAGCAGAACAAACTTATCCCTTAGGCCTCTCCCCTCCTGGATCACAAATTTATGAATCCTCAGCAATGGAGAGGGGAAAGAACCAGTGTAATAATCTATTAGCAAAACCTGTCTGGAGTCTGGCGCCTTTCTGTTTCATTGTCTCTAGAGACTAAACTGCCCTTCAGGTGTCCTAAAACTATGGCACATGCAGCCCACCTAGGACGTTTATCTGGCCTGCCGTGTGTTTTTGCTACAGCTGCCTGTTCAGCTTAGCAGCCAACTCATCCCAGGGTCCGCAGTCCGGCCCTCCAACAGTCTGAGGGACAGTGAACTGGCCTCATGTTTAAAAAGTTTGAGGACCCCTGGATCTCCTACAGGAGGTGGGGGTGTTAGTGGGTTAGTTTCCAGGGAGAAGGAGGGATCTTGGAATCTTATTCTCTGTTGTCTGAACTTTTAGTTTTCCTGTTTTCAATCCTTTCCTTTATTTCCCTTTCACTTCCTCTTAATGTAGTACTTTGTATGTGTTGTTCTTAGCCTTCTGGAGCTCTACCACTGTTTCCTAAATGGTATACCTAAACAGCCACTGAAATTCAGATTTCTCTTCTATGCTTAGTCAGTTGCTTTTTCTTTTTCTGTATTCTATAATCCAGAACACTTTTGTCATCTCTTTTCTGTTCTCTTTTTTCATTATGGGTTTATACCTTTTTTTTTACTAAGTTTAATACATTAGTGGATTTTTTTTTTTCCAGTTTTTGGCTGGGACTGGGCTTGAACCCACTACCTTTGGCATATGGGGTCAGAGCCCTACTCCTTTGAGCCACAGGCGCTGCCCCATTAGTGGATTGTAAGTGGGAGCTAAAATAGACTTGTGTTCGATCCTTCATGTTTTTGAGAATTCTCTCTAGACCATAGCTTTCCCTATATTTGGAATTTTTAAGTGGGTGAAGTAAAAGCACATGGCAGAGCAAGTTTTCAGTGCTTGTTTTGATTTTAATCTTGATCATTGAGGCTTTGTACCAAGAAATGGGTATTGAATCTTATCAGTGCAATCTATGTTATATACCAGACTTTTTGGCAGAGTTATTAGAGATTATTTTGTTTTGATTCTGTGATCTTTATGGGCCATTGTACTGCCAGAAATCTTATGAATCCCTGCATGACTTTTTCTGGATTATAATTATCAGTTTTGGTAATCAGCATTCTGTGATTTTAATTATCATATAGATTTCTCTCCCCCCCCCCCCAGTCTTTAGTAGGAGCATTTTTTCCTATCCGAGGAGGAATTGATAATATTTCTGGGCTGTTATTTAAAAAGAACTGCTATTTTTATTCTTTTCATATTTGTCTTTGCCTTACCTATTTTATTTCTATACTTATTAGTCTGAAAATAATTCTAGCCCCTAAGTTAAATTTTATACATACATGATCAGATATTTCTTTTTTTTTTTGAGACAGAGTCTCACTTTATTGTCCTTGGTAGAGTGTTGTGGCGTCACAGTTCACAGCAACCTCCAACTCCTGGGCTTAGGTGATTC